ACGAGACCTTAGATTCTCATTTAGTATGTATCGGTCAAATATTGCTCGATCTAAAATTCGAGTTTTTAGTTTTCTACTGCTAAGTTGAAACTTCGAAAAATCATAACTTCCTCATACGAAGTCAGATTTTGGCATTCTTTTTATCGAATTTTTCGGTTTAACGAATACTACGACTTTCATTTAGATTTCTAAGGCTAAAAAGTAGTTTATCAAAAACTCACTTTTTACATCATTCGGCGTCGTGCCGGTTTTGTCGCGGATCTTCGGTTGGTCATAACTTCTTTGTTATAACTCGGATTTCGACGAGGTTTTCGCCTACAAGTTTCTAACGAGATGATTTACAACATAAAATAATAAAATTTTACTTATTTCAAATTTTATATTTTCGCTAAATTTTCATTATTTGGCTATTAATTGGAATCTCATAAGACTTCCAATATTTTATGAGTGATTCTAAACATAGTTTTACTTCATTTCTAGTAAAAACTAGCTGTTAGAACTCAACACTCAATTTTATTCACTTTTAATAATAACAATACACAATTTTCAGAATGTGTATGTTCAGTGGCTATCTCTTCATTCATAATCAGGACACGCCCTATTGTGATTAAGAATCGTCTCAATCTATTTGAAAATTTAGCATATGTGTAACAACTTTAAACATAGCTTTCTTTCAAATACTCTGTAAATTAGGAATATTTCTCTAGTTCTCGCAAATACTTTAGAATGTTCCTATAAGTCACACAATGACTTGTTTTCATATTATACTGGTGTCATTCAACATGCTCTAAGCATACGACACATTTGGTCGTTATGCATAATCATGACATATATGATTAATCCAATTGCCTCAGCATACGAAATACAATCATATTATCTAGTTCAAAAACATTTGCACTAGTATTTTGCTCAAAATCATGTCATGTGGTTTTTGAGAAGATTACTCTCTCAAAGTCCTTTATCTTAAGCTCTTTAAGATCCATGACAATTAATGCAATTTTACTTAATCCTTTAAGTTGCCATGACCTACCTTTATAGATCTTTATTCCAAGAGTTAGTATGTCGACTACATATAAGACTAAAAATGTTACTACGCTCCCACTAACTTTATAGAAAACACAAGATTAATCTTGATTTATAATTAAATCACACTATGTAATTGTCTTATAAGAAATAAGATTCTTACTTTGAGATGTTAGCTTAAATCTGAGAAGATTTTCATTCATGTATGTTTTCTCCCTTGAAAACTCACTTACTCTTTATATTCACAATATATCGAGCAAGTTCAATCAAGCCCATACTTGATAATCATACATGAATGCATCTCTCTGTGTTTTATTGGTTTCTGATCAACCATTGAGCGGATTCAACAACAGTTGAAAACATGCTAGTTCCAAACTATGATGCATTTACTTTATGGTTCGTTAGCTCTTAAAGTTCCATATAGCTCCCACTTAGAAAAAGAACTTTCTAAGTACTTGTCTTATGGAATGACAATTAGTGGGGTTAGTAGAGACTTCATCCTAAACAACCATTTAGGATAGTCTACATAAATGCAGTTTGTAGATGCTAGAGTAGTTAAGCTTATTGTCTAACATAAGCTTTACAACTTCTTACATTTTAAATAAGCCTAAACCATTACATCCTTATTCTAACGAAAGTATTTAATCCACTAGTTTGGTTGGAAATATATATATATATATATATATATATATATATATATATATATATATATATATATATATATATATATATATATATATTTGTTGTAGTGAGCATAATTCCAAAATTTTATAAAGTAAATAGTTCTTTTAAAACATCATATAATAGACTGCAAGGTCTATGTTTTATCCTCTTTAAAACTTGTACTATCGACATTCAGCTAGTGGCTAGGTGACTTTATCCCACTATAGAATACGAAGGCTACCTCGAATATCAAAAGATAGATTCAAGTGACTAGGTAATCCTGTGCCACAAGGAACTAACTACTCACAAGTGAGTGTTTTTATCAGAATGAGTTGTGAATCGATTGCATAATTCCTAAGATGTTTCAAGAAGACTTGGTTTGCAAAACTCATTTTCTTTATCATAGTGAAAGGTTAATGATGATCTCATTAATTTGTATTTTAATCTTCACTATGGGAAATTTTGATCAAATCAAAAGGTTTCATCAACAACGAATAAAAGTCGTCAGTGAAATTAATTAAGTATCTATTACCAAATATATTCATGGATTGAAAAAGATTACATACATCACTTATGTATAACTCTTTGTCAAGTCTTTTCTTCTTTAATTACTAATAGATAAAGATATTTGTAAATCATCTTCCCATATAAATATGATTCACATATATCAAATGAATCAAGTTCATTTGGCTTCTAAAATTCCATCATTTTGAAGTTGGTATATGTATTTCTTATTTATATTGTCATGATGATTATGACATAGATAAGTTCCAATCAAATATCATTTTATTATATTGTCATGGTATGCATTTGCAGGAAAAATAAGGTTGCCTCTCAAAAGAACTACACATATAACGTGGTATTCCATAAGCCCCACTTCCATGGGTCATCATAAATAGTAGATGTCAATCAAATAATATCTCGGAAATCGAAGTGGAAAATCACACCATACGGCTGCAGCCGATGAAATCGCTTCAATCGTGAGGGCTAAATGAATTGTTGAACCAATTGAAATGTTTGAACCCAATTATTTCTCTGGTGGGCTGCCAACTTTTCTAACCTTCAATTAAATTGGATTTATCAAATTTTCTTCAAGTTTATATATAACTTAGGATATTGTGGCAATACCAAATAAATCAAATTGAAAATGAAAAAAATCCATTGTGCTCGTCAGATTATAACCAAAAGCTATATCATAATGTCTTCATTCCATAATACTAACATCGTATGCATTAAAAGTTGGCTTTTAAATTACCTAATGTCTTGTTATTCACACATCAATGTCCATTTAAGCTTGATTTCTTCTATTTACACATCCAAGCCCTCCCTGCTAAGAAACAATTACCCGTAAAAATGTTTGTTGTAGCTTCAAGTCCAAGAAAGATGATGATTTGGGCATCAATATAAGTAGGGATGTGCTTCGGGCCAGAACTGACCTGAATCGACCCGAACCCGAATTGGATGAAAAATAGGAATCGAAACCTAGACCAATAATATTAATACAGACCGGTTCGGTTCGGATAATACAGGTTTCGACTCGATTATTAACCCGATAGGACCGAAATAACCCAAATAAACATTTACGCTATGTTTTTTAACTGAATAACCCAAATAAACTGAAATGATCCAAATAACCCAAATAATCCAAAAGGACACGAATAACCCAAATAAGGAAATTCTATATCTAATTCAAGAAAAAAAATATTATTTTAATATTTTTTTTCTTGAATTAAATATAGAATTTCTTTATTTGGGTTATCCAAATCATTTCGGTTTATTCGGGTTATTCGGGTCATTTCAGTTTATTTTGGTTATTCGGTTCAAGTTATTGTACCTTATAGCATCAAAAATGAAAATTTAAATAAATAAGTAAATATTGGATATGTAAGATACAACACTTAATGTTACCTTCGATCGGTTTAATGAACACACAAGAGATACGAAAGAAGTAGAGAAAGTTTATTCCAAGGATCGAAAAAATGAAGATGGATAATGTGTATGAGCTAAAGACGTTGGATTAAAGCGAAAGCAATGGAGGCAAATCGGTGGAAACATCTTAAAAAAAAAAAAAAAAAAAAAAAAAAAAAAAAAAAAAAAAAAAAAAGATAGAGTAGGGATGGTATACCACCGCCCTAAAGTGACCCCGGTTGAATAAAAGAACCACACAATGTGAACAATCTTATTGGAGGAGATGAAAATGTAGAGACAAACACACCATTCAAGCCTACTACTACTTCAACCTTGGTGCTACTACTACAACCTTGGCTTCTGTAACACATGTCCAAGAAACTAATCTTGACCAAAAAACAATAAAAAATAAAAATAAAAGCGGTCCAATAAGATCGCATCTCTATTCATAAAGAGGCTTTTAAATAAAAATGAAGTAGGTTCATGCGAAAACATAAATATCTTGCGAAAACGCGAAAACAGATTTATCTTATGAAAATCAAACACATATAGTATAAAAAAATAAATTTATTAGCAATAAATTAAAGATAATAATACATTGGATCGTGTTATGATAATATAGATTTAAAAACGTTTTTAACAATTACTTTTTTTTTATGTCCTTAACCATTTTTAAATTCACGTTTTCATAATAAAAATGTCAAAAATCAGACTTTGCTAATATGAAACAATTTTCTCATCTATTATCGATTATCATAATGTATTTCAAAGTTGGGATGAATTATTGTCTAAAATATAATGTTGATGTGGCACAATCTCATAGGTTTTCTTGTTATTGCGTTTTCACAGTTTATTTGCATTTTTGCATTAACCCTTCCATATATATATATATATATATATATATATATATATATATATATATATATATATATATATATATATATATATATATATATAGAGAGAGAGAGAGAGAGAGAAAAAAAACTTATGATTAAACATAAACAAAATCTAAATTATGTTACCTTACAGATCATTATCCCTATCAATTAATTTGTAATCACTTAATACAACAATTTATAATTTTATACAGATTTTCGCAAAAAAAAAAAAAAGTTATATAATATTGTTAAAAAAAACTAAAAGTTGTTACATAAATAACAAAATTTTATATAAAATATAGAATTAACAAATCCTTAAAAATTATACTAATAAAAAGGCGTCTTATATTTCCTTACAACTGATTGGAGAAAAATAAGTTGAAGATGGAACCCTTTCAACGTATATGTCATGTCACTTACCTTATCCATTCTTTTGCTTTGGATAATGCTGCCACGTCCCTTTCCCCACCAAATGCTATTGACTATAAAATATAAATACCCATCACACACACAAACTCTTAAACATCCACAATACAATCCCTTTCATTTCATAACAAAATCTTCATATTTTTTGTGTCGATCCTTTAAAATATAATGTTGGCTATTTTCAAGAAACATTTGGTTAATGCACCAAAAGAACTCAGTAGCCCATCACACGATCATCATCAAAATCATCATCCTTCGAACCAATTCTTGAATTCTAATCCCAATGCTTTCTCATTTTCTTTTGGCAATGATGCTTCTTTCGCCTTCGACTCTTCCTCTCAACAAAGGTATTTTCTTTTTTTTTTTTTAATCTTTGGATAATACATATTTATGTAATTGGTCAAATACTTAAACATTAATTCGTTATTTATTACATTATACCCTAAAATATTTTTTTTCCTTTAAGTTTTGGTTTATAACTTTCGTGAAATGTATTTGTAGGTTGTTTAGTAGCATGGATGACATTTATTGCATATTCTTGGGAGGTCTAGACAACTTATGCACCCTTAACAAGCAATATGGGCTAACAAAGCTCGCCAATGAACCAATGTTTGTGATCCAAGCTTACAAGACCCTTCGTGATCGTGGCCCATACCCGGCCCACTCAGTCCTCAGGGAGATGGAGGGTAGTTTTGGGTTTATACTCTATGATCTCAAGGCTAAAACTGTCTTTGTCTCACTTGTAAGTGTCCTCTCATTACTTATACTCTCTCATGTATCATGTTATAAAGAGGGCGTGTTCGACATTTTACTTAATATGATAAATTGGTGTTGATGATCCATAGGGTGCCGATGGAGGAGTGAAGCTTTTCTGGGGCATAGCGGCTGATGGCTCGGTTGTAATTTCTGACAACTTGATGGTCATAAAGTCTAGGTGCTCCAAGTCATTTGCTCCCTTCCCAACCGGTAAGGGTTCCAAAACTTTCGATTTACTTGAAGAAAGGGTAATTTTGTCTTTTCGTTATGATTTGATATGGTATGTAGATTGATATTTGTGGATTTTTGTGTGTTGTATAGGGTGTATGTATCATACAGAAGGGGGATTAATGAGCTTTGAGCATCCAAAGAACAAAATGAAGGCAATATCGAGGGTTGATAGTGAAGGAGTGATGTGTGGTGCTACATTTAAAGTTGATGTGTATTCAAAGACCACACAAGCAATGCCTAGGGTTGGAAGTGAAGCTAATTGGGCTACTTGGGGATAAGGGGAATGATAATTTCCTTTTGACTTTTTATTGTATAGAACTTTCATCATAGATTTGTTACTTATTTGAAAAAAAAAAAAAAAAAAAAAAAAAAAGTCTACTTCTATTGTTTTATGTCTCTTAATGATATTTGTTTGTTTTTTCTGTTTTTGTTACTTTACTTTACCCAATGGTTCACATATTTCTTAAATAACCATCAATTTAATGACCATTATGAAATACCACTATTCAGTATTCACTACTTAAATGCCTTTTTTTTTACCTTTTCTATTTTTACCTCATATTTTTTTTTTATAAAATGTCTCTCAAGTCTCGACTAAGTCTTCCTTTTCGAAATATAAAGCACTCTTTTGTTAGGAAAGTCGTTTGTAAAAATCCCTACCACACAAAAAAATATATATACACTTCAGAAAAAAAAATGTAATCTTAATAAACAATTTCTCAGTAGTGCTAAAAGAATGGGTGAATAGTTTGTTTTTACAAGGGCCTATAGGCCCATTTCGTAGTAGCCCATTTAACAATCTAGGCCCAATTCCCGGTGGCTATTTGGCAGGGTTTTGGGGTTAAATGTGTCGTCTATATAATAGCATTTCCATTTCCAATGCTCATTATTACACTTAAGTTCAGTTGGCTCCCTTGTGAAATGTGTGGTGTGGCTATATTTAGAAACATGGTTAGTTTTTAACGAGTGTAACTTTTGTATATTAATAGAAAACGTATAACTTTCCACTTAAATGTTATTACCAGTGACATTGAACAACACAAACCAAACTTATCATTTTGAAACAAATGATCTATACTAACAATAAACTTATAAGCATGTTATTATAAATTATTATTATTTTGTACATTTGGTAAATGGTCTTTTGTTTTGGTTACTAATTGAATTGAATATCTCAATTGAATGGGTTGAGACAATCCAAGTATCCAACCCAAATAGTAAATTGGTTGCTGATGAATAGACACGTTTAAAATTAAAAATGTAAATAAATCAAATTAATTAATTAAATAAAGATTACACCTAACTCAACGAGTTCCAAACTTAAATTAAATTTGAAAGTACAACAAAAATAGAATCCCAAATCAAAAATACACATAAATCGTCCAAATAATTTTTAAACAGGGAATTTTTTTGGACCAATGTCATTTATAACACAATATTTTACAATAACTATCAAACAAAACATACATTTATCAACTATCATACAAAACTACAAATTACAAAAGTCCGAATTTGATATGATCCACAATATGATTCTCATGAACTCGTTATAGTTTAAAACAAAACTTATCAATATGCATCAACGAAGATCTGCAATATGTTCAAAAATAATCCATCAATAAACGATGTTTTTCCCATTAAGTCATAACTATTTACAAATTTTCCCTCCTTTATATATTAAGTATTAATTTATGTAAAAAATCTAACCTCGATATCTGGTAAAGAATCATATGTTTTCTTGTCATGTGTATTAAAGAGTGTAATGCCACTGATTTTCTGCATTCCAAGTTCCATAGCAATCAGATTCTGCAACAAATAATGCAAAAGTCGTTACAAAAGTCTGTTGAAATTTTAAAAAAAAATTAGGTAACAATAAATCGTGCGTGACAAACATTGATAAAAAGTTATAGAAAAAATATAAAATTTCACCGGTTTATGGATTTAGCCATATAAATATAATAAAAATAAAAGTTAGTGCACATAACATACCAGTTGAAAATCCAAAGATTTGTATGCCTCCACCTGAGGTAAAGCCTGAGAAATATAAATATTGAATTGAAAATTATCATATCATTTTGTGAATAATCCAAGACAAAAAAAAAATAATAATAATAATAATAATAATAAGAAAGAAAGAAAGATTTACAATTCTTTTAAGTCCATTAACCACAACAGCTTTTTCCTCATGATTATCAGTCAGAGATAACACAACTTCAAATGGCCCAACATTTTTCTCACTAAGATTTGTTACACTCAACCCCACCTACACAAAACCACAAAAAATATATATATAAATTAATGTTCAAAATTAGTCTGAAAAACTAAAATAATTACTTATATGGTTTGTTCTCAAGTTTAAACAATGTGAATAGAAATGATTTAATCTTTAACAAAAAAAAAACGGAGAGGAATTGAAAATTTTTGTGTCCTCGAGTTTTGGCTAATTTTCTCTCCAAAACTGAAAGCTTTTATAGCCTCTTGTAATGACAAAACTACCCTCAACTTACGCCCTCTGTTTTCGTTCCCCATTAGCGTTGTATGTATAAAATGTTGTCTCAGTAAAAGATAAATGAGGTTTATAAAATGTTCAAAATCATAAATATGAAATCAAGTATTATAGGAAGAATTAACTTAAATGTTGTTTCTTTTTTTAATTGTTCTACTTAATCACAAGGGTTAATCTCAAAAAAGACATTATATTTTGTGTATTTTCGAAATTAAACCTCAAATTTATTTTTTCTCTGAAAAAGACCTTGTATTTTTTTCATTTTTTTCCAAAAAAAAGTAAAATGTGAGGGCTTTGTTGAGAAAAACTAAAAAAGTTGAGGGTTTTTTCTGAAAAAAGACAAAGTTGAGGGTTTTTTCGGAAAAATGGAAAAACAAAAATACAAGGACTTCTTCAGGCAAAAAATAAAGTTGAGGTTTAATCCGGAAAAAAACACAAACTATAAAGGTATTTTTTTAGATTAACCCTAATTAGAACAGTAAATAATCCATTAAAGTTAATTAAACATAATACAAGTAGAATAAAATTGTACTTACTGTGAAGGGTTTTTCCAAAATGATGACAGGTGGCACTTTGATAGCTTTCAATTCAATCTCTTTGTGTGCAATGGGCTACACAATGACGAAAAGAATAATAATAATAATAATAATAATAATAATAATAATAAAGAATCAAATGCTTAAACTTATAGATAAAATAATGTCATGTGTTGAAGAAAGTCAAGAAAGTCAACTCACATTTCCAAGAATTTGTTGTGTTTGTAAACGCCCAGGTTCACCTAAATTTGTACGCCATGTTATTTGAAGTTTACCAAGGACATTATTACCCTCGATCTTTGTTGGTGTAGATAATTCATCTAATGATTTTAATTGATAAAGATAATTGTGAATTCCTCCGCCTGATTTAATTAGAACAGGCTCCTTGAATATCTCTCTGTTGCATTTTTAAATCAATATCAAAAAAAAAAAAAAAAAAAAGTAAGTTGAGAAGTTATGAAGCAGCTAAAGAATTGGTTATATTGAAGTTTAATGTTTCGGATGAAAAGGTGTAAAAGGGTATTCACGTCTTTTTGCACAGACAAAAAAAAAAATTGCAATTTTTGTATCATTCATCGGTCCTAGTTAAACTCGCCGATGATTTTCAGGTTAAATTAATCTCATAAAAGACCTTATATTTTGTGTTTGTTCTGGATTAAACCTGATTTTTTTTTTTGCATGAAAAAAAAAACCTTGTATTTTTTCCGAACAAAGCCCTCGGCTTTGTATTTTTTTTCCAAAAACCCTTGATCTTCTAAATGCTTACAAATAAACCCTCAACTTTTTTAGTTTTTTTCGAAAAAACCCTCACATTTTACAATTTTTTTTTGGAAAAAAATGACTAAAAGGGTCGTATCGGAAAAATGAAAAAACACAGGGTCTTTTTCAAGCAAAAAAAAAAAAGAGGTTTGATAAAAGAAAAAGGGAAATTGTCAGAAAAGTCCAAATATTTTCAGAAAAGTTACACTTCAATCCCAAGTTTTTTTTGAACATAAAAGTCCCGATTATTTGTAAAAACACGATAATATGTCATTTCCTATTAAAGGACAAAAAGTTAATTTGAGCCAATAATGTGGACTTTTATGTTAGAAAAAAATAACAAAAACAAAAACAAAAAAACTTGAGACTAAAGTGTAACTTTTCCGAAAATATTGGGAGCTTCTTGACAATTTTCCAAAAGAAACACAGAATATAAGGTTTTTTTAGATTAACCCTTCTTTCTATTACAACATTTCAATTTTTTTTTATTTAGGAATTGTACTTTGAAAAATCTACATAAATTTAGCATTGTACTTTGAATTTTTTATATTATAGATTACAAAATCTATTCATACTTGGACACTAACATTGCTAAAATTGGATAATTTTTTCAATGTGTAAAGTTTTAATAGGAAGAAATGAAAGTAATAAACAAATCAATGAAAATATGTTGCCATTGAAACCCTAATTTTATTTAGTCACACAAAAAACCTGTTTAAAACACCCTTTTCTGAATGATGATCATCAGATTTTAATAATGTTGCACTCCATTGTAAAGTTGGCTCAAATTCCACTTGATCCATATAAAGATTTGATTTTGTATTATTTTCTAAACAAGCCTCCAAATATGTCGTTTCCTGAGACAACAAAAGGAGATGAATCACCACAAGAAAATGTCAAAAAAAGTAACGTACAAATGACCATTTTACCCTTCTATCTAAAACCAATAATACCCAATACACACAGAATAAGAACTTACACACACGTATTTTTAACCAATGCCAACCTACCTTCACAACACGGACCTACATAAGAATATACATAACAAATTAGTAAAAAAATAAGTTAAATGATGTAATAAAAAATTTTAAAAAATAAAATAAAAAATACCTTCGTTCTGACAGAAAGTGGATTTGAAACTATGAACTTGAAATACTGAGGGAGATATTTGCGTTCAGCATCACCATCACTGTATTGAGCTGTACACACCAAGCTAAAGAAAAATATAAATTTAGATTAGAATATAAAAATATAAAATAATTACCAAAATGCATAAAAGTTCACCATTTTATGTATTTTAACATGTGAAAAATAAGTATAACAGAAACTAGTTAAGTGGCTAAATCGATAAAATGGTAAAAGTATGTTAAGTGTTTTGTTTTTTGTATGTTACCCTAGAATAAAAAAGGCAGAAGAAAACATTTGAAATATTAAATCTAACACCATCATCATCATCATCATCATCATCATCATCATCATCATCATAAATGATAATAGATATATTTCTTACGTGTGTGCACCAAGTTCTTTAACATCATGTTCAACAATGAAATCATAACGCCCTCCTGCTCTTATTGTTTCTACAGGTGTTTTTGTTGTATCCAAAAGCAGAATCCTCTGTCTTTCTGTTTGTATTTCTGC